ATCCCATGGACACAGACTCCTAAATATTTATGTAAGTGGAAGCATATACAGTATTTCTATATTCAGCAACAGGAGAATGTAAACCCTATAAAACTTAAAGAAATTGCATTTTAGAAGAAAGATCAAGATAAGGCTTATACTCCGAAGACACAGAGCCACTTGAGAGTGTCCTTCATGGGATTTAAAAAAACAAACCAACCAAACACAAAAATCCCGAAAGTTATCAATAATATATTGTTGGCAAGTGAAACATTTCTACATCTCCACAAAGAGAGATTTTTTTCATTGTCCCCCATTTTTACATGTGTACTGACATAATTTTGTAAGTTTTTCTTCATTTAGTGTCCAGTTCTGGTTGGTCTCCCTTTGTTTTTTTTCCTTGAGTGAGGGTAAGGAATTGACTTATGCACAAAAAAGTAGTTTGAATGACATTAAACTTAACACTGATGTGATTTGGGGTTTTCCCTACCTCTTTTCCTCCCCCCACCAATGGTTTTACAGTTTTCTTACTCTGTATATTGTCTAATTTCATCCCTTCTCTCATAAATCTTTTTATTCCTCCATCTTTTTTATTGTTATTTGCAGGTTGGGATCAGCTATCAGCCCCCTACAGTTACACCAGGAGGAGACCTAGCCCAGGTTGAGTGAGCAGTCTGCATGCTGAGCAACACCACAGCCATTGCAGAGGCTTGGGCAAGGCTCGACCACAAGTTTGATCTGATGTACGCCAAGAGAGCTTTTGTGCACTGGTACGTGGGTGAAGGCATGGAGGAAGGAGAGTTCGCAGAGGCCCGAGAGGACCTGGCTGCCCTGGAGAAAGACTATGAAGAAGTGGGAACTGACTCATTTGAAGAAGAAAATGAGGGAGAGGAATCTCAAAATTCACTCTGCCCTTTTCTGTGCATAAGATCGTCTCTATGTCTCTTTTTTTCATGTCAGTGCATTTCTGCTTGCCTCACACAGACCAAATCCATTGCCATCTTAGTAGACTGTAAAGACGATGAGTTCTCCACTATGAGATCACAAGACAGTAAATGCAGGATATATGACCAGCTAATCAGTAGTCACTTTGCCTCAGAGGGTGACAGGCTTCATATTTTTTGCTAATATATCCTGAAAGGATGCCTGTCATCTATACTGTCGTTTATTCAATACAAAGATACAGTCATGTAGCTGTAATATTACTTGAGGAACTCATGCTTCAAAACGTCCCGCATAATTGCTACAGACACTACGTAAGGAGAAGTAACCTACAGTGCTCAGTCTTTAATTCATGCTAATTGGAAACATGTTTGTAAAGCTGTAAGATGCACTCTATTGGTGCCAAGAACATACAGCTTGTCCTGGTGCCCTTGATTCTACAGAATCCACAGTGCCAGCTGGTTAGAAGGTGTGATTTTGCCAGCTGCCATGAGGAGGGGCACAATTCAGGTGCCCTTAGCTTCAGCAGAAGTTTAGAGCGCACTATGCTTGTGCAATCATAACTGGATTGGTCTGGAGGTGCAAGTATGCTGACAGTTCTGTTGTAACTGCTAAATGAACAACATCTGTGGCAGAGTTAAGGGCCTTGAAATGACCAGCTTGTGGCATGCAGGACAGAAGTATTACCAGCTCCGTCAGACTTACTGAGATCACAATAAATCAGAACCATGACAAAAAATGTGTGTGATAGGTATAGGTGGGATGCCTAAGAACACCAACTATGACTTCACAGCTTAAGTCTTCATAAGGTATATTTTTTTGTATTCCCATTGTTTTAGAATTTTAGAACAATATATTGTTAAGGCATGCAGGCAGGTGGCCAGCCATGGCCTGAGGTTAAACTGATGGGATAACAACTGTTGGATGTTGCAGATAATGGAACAGGAAAAGTGGCTGGCCTGTGTCTAACGTAATGAGGTAATGGCAGGAGAAGCTGCCGGGTGCTACATACAGTGAAAAGGGAGTTTTGGGGACCCCCGCCTTGAGTGGAAGATATCAACAGAAAGTGAAGGGGGTGTTGGCTTGCTGGGGGTACTAAGTAAAGCTGAAATTACCAAATAAAGGTGTAAAATTAGCAGAACAGGGCCACTGGTGAAAAAGGGGAGGGGGTGTGTCTATTTAGGAGGGGGAGGAAGCTAGAGAAAGGTAATAGAAGGCAAAGAAAATTATGTCCATTTGGGGGTACCTGTCGAGCAGCCCTGTGCTTGAACAATGCCTGCAGCAAGACGATAAGCCTGTTGTGCTGACCTTGCCACGTGCATCCAACTTGCTTATGAGATCATTGCTGTCATCTGGAAGGTTTCCCTTAACGCTGATGAAGGGGAGACACCCTGGAGACCAAATATATACCACTGTTTATTTAATGCTGGATTTATTATTGATCTTTTGTAAATTTCTTTAAAAAAAAAATCCATGTTTTCACTGGCATACAACTCCAGCAGGGCTACAGAAATGCATTATGTTTTGCCCAAACTGTGGAGGAGTGTTGTCCACTTTCTGGTAAATCTGTATTAAGTTTGCTAAAAGATCATAAAGAAAAGCAGGCACATCCAGAAACATTGCTGATGTAGTTTGTCTTTTTATCTGCAAAATGAACGGCTGATCTTTCTATTAGAAACTGTAGTTCTGAACTTGCTATATTAGGGGAGATAATTCTGCAAGTCCCGATCTAATACAACTTTTAGCAAATATAGAGAAATTTTGTATGTGACAATTCTTACCAAAAAGGAGATAACTCTTTTGAAACTGTATCCCAAAATGTACTTAATTTTTCTTTATTTAAAAGTAATTTTAAAAATACATAGTACAGTTCTCTGTTTCAGGGATAATGCCTGAAAGCCAGTATTTTATCAATATAGCAGTTTTATGTGGGTACTGAAATACTAGACTTTAGGATTTCAGAAATACCTGAAACGAGATGCTGTCAATTCTCCCAGTAGGTGGCAACAGAATGACAGAATGTAGCTTTACACGGGACACAGGGAAGAATTTATATCTTCATTCACCTAACATAAGAAGGTATTTTAATGTGTGGGAAATGCAAAGACTTTCACACACCAAATTAAAAATGAAAGAGGTTTTTGTACGATCACCAAAGAACTTCTTAGGAGTGCACTGTTTTGTCAGATGGCACATTACTGTTCTAAAATAATCCACAATTCTGCCACTGTTGGTGAGTCACTTAGGTAACTAGTCTGTAGGGGGTGGTGTACATCTGGCAGGAGATAAAGAAGGTAACTGTCCTTCATTTGCCTGTTGGCGTATTTTGATCTCTAGTCAGAACAGAACTGACAGATCACAGGACTTAGTGGTTCTCTTGGCCTAAGATCTGGTGGACAGTACTTCTAGATATTAAAAAATGCTAGTTTCAGAGATGTGTCTGTTTTTAAACAGAGAAAAAGGTTTTAGGTTTTGTATGGCCATGTTAAGGGTTTTTTTTAAATCCCTCTAAGAGGCTGATTTTCATAGTGTCATAAACAATTGGAGATAATAACTCACAACTCCTCTGCTCTGTTGCATTGCTCTGGAGGGCACCTATGGCACCGCACCCTGGCCATGTGCACATGAGAAGCCCTCTGAGAATGTCCAGACCCTCCCAGTCACACGCAGGCTGCGCATCACCCCGAGGAGCATGGGCTATTCACAAGCCCTCTGGCAGTACCAGCAAAGCCACTCTAGCACTCATGCCAAATTCACTTATTAGCACACCTCAGGACTCCACGGCAGAGCTTTTTTATAATCAGCCCTATTTAGCTCTCATCATCTACCAGTGTTGCAAGGTAAAAGCTGAAGTGGGCAGACCTCGACCAGGCTGCTGGGCTACCAACCTTCCCCATGCAGGGCATGTCTCAAGCCTGTTCCATGCAGGACAGAGAGGTTGAGTGACTGCCCCTACAAGCTTGCCATCTGCCCACACAGGTTCAATGCCAGCATCAAGCAAGATGATTTTCTTTCCAAGAATCCCAGCCCAGGCCGTATCTGCCTCATGTCTTTGCAGAGTAGAGCCTAGAGGCTGACTCTGGAGTCAACAAAACTCACTGGTACCTGGGAGCACAGTCCCACACTGTGATTTCAGGTTACCCTCTAAATCCAGACTGAGGGTTTTCTGCCTAAGCAGTCTACAACACAGGTGGACGAAGCAATGTAAGGAAACCTCATTGTTGTGGTTTAGCCCCAGCCAGCAGCTAAGCACCACGCAGCAGCTCGCTCACTCCCCCTGCCCCGATGGGATGGGGGAGAGAATTGGAGGAGTAAGAGTGAGAAACACTCCTGGGTTGAGATAAGAACAGTTTAATAATTGAAATAAAGTAAAATAGTAATGATAATAATAACAATATAATAATGATAATAACAATATACAAAGCAAGTGATGCACAATGCAATTGCTCACCACCCACCGACCAATGCCCAGCCAGTCACCAAGCAGTGATTGCTGCCCCCCAGCCAACTCCTCCCAGTTTCTATACTGAGCATGATGTCATATGGTATGGAATAGCCCTTTGGTCAGTTTGGGTCAGCTGTCCTGGCTGTGCCCCCTCCCAGCTTCTTGTGTAACTGGCAGAGCATGGGAAGCTGAAAAGTCCTTGACTAGTATAAACACTACTTACCAACAACTAAACCATCCGTGTGTTATCAACATTCTTCTCTCCTACTAAATCCAAAACACAGCACTATGCCAGCTACTACAAAGAAAATTAACTCTATCCCAGCTGAAACCAGGACAATCAGGAAAAATTAAGCCTATGCCAAAGTAAATGTGAGTTTATAAAAAAACCTGGTATGAACTACTTCACACTGTTCAAATGTAAGCATTAGTTAAAGAAGAAGATCCTTAGATGCTGGTTGCCAACAGTGGCGGAACAATCTATTAATATAATCATGTCAAAGTAGACTAACCTGAAATTTAGGAATTGTGTATTTAAATTTCTACTGATTAAACATCATAATAAACAGTATGTTTCTAAAGTCTGGGGATACATAATACTCAGATTCAAGCAATTAAGTGTGCCTTCCTCTTTCTTACCTAGGAGTTGCAAACACGAGGATTTCTCCACTGAGAGAAGATGCTGCTTTCCAATGCTGAGCTAGTACAGAAGAAGCAAACAATAAAATGGTGGAGGCAACTACCCCAGTTTGGTGAGAACCTTTGCGTGATGCCTCCAGCTATTTCTTGCAATAAGCACCACAATGAGACTCAAAATTTCTTTCTGTGTTTGGACAGACAAGTTAGACTCTGTACTGAATACTGCCCCACACTGCTGACAGCCCAGATGACTGTACACAGACAGGGAAGCAACAGAAGTAAATTGAAACTTTAATAGAGAGGCAGCTGGAGTAAGGACAGAAAGAAGCCAGGACAGCATTTAAGAGACCTGGTAGAGCACACTTCAGAATGGTAATTATATTTACTTTCCAGTTCTCTATTTTTGGTTTTTCTTCTACCCTTTTTCATTCATTTGCTTTCTTACACCTTCTTGGTCTTCTGTATTGGAATTTAGGAGTGATTTTCACCTATACATGTACGTGTGGCAGAACAGGGAATTGGGATGGTGTAT